ACCTGCGCTCCACGTGGATTCTGGGGGCTGTGGATGCGGGGCGGGCGCGCGCGCTATTTGTCCACTCCGAAGCCTGCGCTCCGTTGAGTTAAGGGGCAATTGTAGTGCAGATCGCTGAGGAAGGGGAGCGGGAGAGTACATCTTCACAATCGGGAGAACTGCAAATTCAGGATCATACGTAGATGCTAGTCGTGAGATGTCTATAACGCACATAATCAACCTAGTACGTCCGCGATACATTCCGTAGACCCTCTGCTCTCACTCGAAATGGCGAATAGTCGAAAGGTATGCAATACTGAATACTGAAACAAATACCAGGTACCAGGGAGTACATTTAATTATCGATGAAGATCTAAACATATTCCAAATTCAGTGGCATTATGAAATGATGGAGGGCGAGCGGCGCAGGCTATTGTAAACGAAATACCAAATTTTGCAATATATTGAAAAAAGAAAAAAGCAACCAAACACACAGGAATCGGCGCTTAAGATATCTGTTGCCGTGGTAACTCGTACATTAAATCACCAATAAAAAGTTACTTTTCTAGTGACTGTAACGTTGCATAACTCCAGTTCTTTACATTCATGTCTGTCAGTAAATAATACTGTGTACTGATAATGCAATGATACTGTGTAATGATACTGTGTACAGTATACTGTGATGTTGAAATTGCAGTTGAATTGTGAAGAGAAGCCCGTGCAGTTGGGATCATTGATACTTCAAGAACAAAATTTGTTTTTCAAATGTGGGGTTAGTTCTTTCAGCCTCGTACTGAACAGCTTATATTGTTTTTAACCGTGAAAAGAAAACTCAAAATATTCTCTCTTCCCTTGTGTTGCTAACGAATCGAATGATTTATTACACGATCTGTAGTTGACATGCTTCTCTGGCGTTTTTGTATGATTATTGGAAGTTTATATTATATATATATATGTATATATATGTATATGTATATATATATATATATATATATATATATATATATATATATATTCTTTAAGATAATTTATTCAGCAATTAAGGAATAATATTTCTTTTAAATGCATTGTACCCATTCACGGAAATTCTTGCAAAGCAATTTTTATTACAAAAGCAAAGTCAAACTCAGAAAGCACTGAGAAAAGTTTTCGGCTTCCCTTTGTCGCATCTAGAATTTTATTTGCTACAGAACAACTTCTACCTCATATGTGAGGAAACAACTCTACATGCTTCTTGATATTTTTTATTGTTAGAAAATGTAAAAATGTATTGTTACAAATGTGGAAGAAGAGAGGATATGGGAAAGTACGGAGCAGTTGGAGTCTGAAAGAACGTCGAAAATCACCCAGTCTGGACCAGTACAACGGGAGCGGACAGCGTGAGGCTCAGAGGTTTGTAGCTCAGTGACAGTGGTGGGAAGGCGAAGAGCACTGGGGAAGTGTACAAAGTAGAAGAGCATGGATGAGTTGAAGAAAAAGGTTATAGGAGACGGGCGGCGAAAATCTGAGAGGCGTAAGACGGAGCAGAATAGGTTGGTGAAGAACGGGACGAGGAGCGGTGGCGGAAGAGAAAGGCAGAGAGGAAAAAGTGTAGGACAGAGAGTGACAGATGTTGATAAGCCGAGACGCAACGGACCGGGGAGGATGGGAGCCGGACCGCGCTGGGCCGCGGCAAGCCGGACAGCGACGAACCAGGAAAGAACCGGGGCGATAGAGATGGAACAGGACGAAACGGTCCTGGCCGGTAATGTGCACTGCGGTGTCTGGATGCGGGATGGGGGTGGAAGGGCGGGAGGGTAGGTAGTGCGGGACCAGAGAGGCGTGGAGATGGCTGACTCACTGGTCTCCAGCGTGTCCCACGGGGCCGCGTCGTCCGCCGACCCCACCACGATCTCGTCCTCGCTCACGGCGGCCTCCGTCTCCGCCGTGAAGTTGGCGTCGACGGGCGTGGAGTCGAAGGCGACCTCGCTCAGCAGAATCCAGCGGGCGGCGAAGTGCAGCTGCAGCTTGACGAAGCGGCCCACGCGCCCGTGCAGCTTGATGGTGACGTTGCGCGCGTGCTCCAGGGCCAGGTCGGGCATGTAGGAGAAGCTGAGCGGCCGCCCGTTGAAGAAGCGGCCGCCCACGCTGAAGAAGACGCGCGCGCGCGAGAACACCTGCGCACACACGCCGCGGGCGCGCCGCCGCCGCCACGCTCAGACCCCCGCGTCGCTTTGCCGGGGGAGTCATAACTCATAAAAAATAAGATAGTAAATCGGTCTAAAATAGTCAGTACAGTAAATCGGTCTATAATAGTCAGTACAGTAAATCGGTCTAAAATAGTCAGTACAGTAAATCGGTCTAAAATAGTTATTGATGCACCAAGGGTGTCATAAGGGTTCTAATTATAGACCAAGATCATTAGAATCAGTTAAAGCCCGACGTACATACATAATTGTATTTTTTACCTAATTTTATTGATTCAGATTTACTTATGTACTAGTTAACTAGATGTAATCTGACTAGGTTTGTCTTCTCATATTTCCCTACCATAATAATTCCCTTTTATAATTCTATTATGCGACGTGTTCTATTCAACTGTTTTCATATTTCCCTCGTCACCACGGATCCTCTCGATCCAGGTAACTTATGCAGCGTATATTCATCTCCGAGCAAAGGCAATAACAAGTAAAGTAAAAAATAAAGTAAAAATAAAAAAATAAAGTATTTTTTTTATCAAGAGTAAGTCTTTATATCTGAAAGTGTACCAACTGCCGCTTGGTTGTCAAATGAGTGGAGAGGTAGTTGCTTATTCGCACACGCATACACACACATGCACAACACTACCGCACATATCGGGAGTGCAGTCAGGAACTTCGAGCTCGTCCCGGCTGAGACGATGTTTCACTCGGGCGGTGCCCAGCTGGGGGAGATCCTCGGGGCGGCAAACATCCCGCAAGTGCACGTATAGGTGAGCGCTGGATCTCACGTCTCGACTGAGGAGGAGAACTACCTCATTCTGAGAGAGCACGTGGACTACAGTGACGGGACTAATGACTTCCGAAATCAATGAAAATAATGACCGAAATCAAAAGTCACTTACGCAATCACGTCACACGCCATTCGCCACATCTTGCCCAGCGCTGCACCGTACAAGCACTACGCGCGGCTTGCATCACACTTTCCATCCCGTTCCCACCCGCACTCTTTGCACCACCCTTCGCCCACCTCTCTGGACATTACCCAATCCCAAGCATTACCCTGCACCTTTCCACGCACGCCCCGCCGGCTGCGCGCCCCAGCCCCTACGGCGAGAGGCGGC